CTGAGTGAACACAGGGTGGGCACAGGGACAGCCCCATGAAATGGCGAAGAGCAGCACCGCATTTTGTCACTCTCTCATCCCAAGCCCAGAAGAGACACTTGGGGTGTTTGGGGGTCCAGCCTCCCACGTCAGCACCTCCCTCCCGAAGTCTGAACTGTGAGGGTCCGCCTATATGTGGATTTTAAGATAAATCGGTACAGTGCTGTAAATGTATTTTCTGTTCCTTATTATTTTCTTAATAATGTTTTCTATAACATTATTGTAAGAATACAGTATATAACACATAAGCAAAATGTGTTAATTGACTGTTTATATTATTGATTGCCAGTTGACTCTTCGTAGTTAGGTTTGGGGGGGGTCAAAACTTATGTTCGAATTTTTGACCACAGGGGCGGGGGGAGGTCAGTCCCCCTAACCTCCGTGTGGTTCAGTGGGCAACTGTAAGTTACGGCACTGACCTCCTCCTCTGAACTCAGAGTCCTTTTATTGCCCCCTTAAAGCAGCCCTGTTCTTCCCCACCCCCACCTTCACCACCGCCAAGGGGGCTGCTTCTGAGGAGCTACGGTAACCAGAGGATTATGCAAATATGCAAGTCCGGTAAAGCAGTGTTTACCCAGGCAAGCGCTGCAGTCTGTACTCAGCCACTGGGCCTGGCGGTCCTGGAGCGGACTCCCTCAGTGTCATCGCAACCTCTAGTGGACAACAGCAACACCGCGGCTCCCAGGGCTTTGTTCCAGCTCTGAGCCCACGATGTCCAGGGGGTGCAAGGAGAGCGGGCAGGGCACGAGATCTGTTTCAGGTGTGACCATGTGTGCCTGCCCACCTTCCCCCCCACCCACTCCTGCTCCCCTTCCTCAATCCCACGGGTGTGTGATATGTTCTGAAAGTGAAGCCTTCTTTAGGATCTTCACTACTGTGGAAGTCTCCCCTCTGGCTGCTGGTCCCTGTCACCTCCCTCAGGGCCAGCTCAAATGCTACCCACTCAGGGAGTCCCTCACTGACCACCCCTGGCCAGAACCGAACACAGCCACCTGTGGGCTCCCACGCACTCTGACATCTGCTTCCAACACTGGTGGTTTGCCTGCAGCTCTCTCTCGCTAGGCCGCCCTCACGGTGACAGGGACCTTTTTGTATTACTCTTGTGTGTCCCCAACACCCAACACGGGGCCTGTGGCCTGCTCAGCCAAGGTTAAGTGAATGAATGAGTGAACGAATGAATGAGTAGATGTCTTTTCCAGAAGATTCTCGTCTTACATCTTCTCTCCAACCATTAACCTTCCACCCTCCATCTCTGGTACCATGAACTCTGCTTCCTGATGGTCACACTGAAGTTCAAGGAGATACAGCACCAGAGTCTGGAAAGGAAGAGGGTCTGTACCTGCCACAGGCAGCAGAGAGGCGCTGGAGCTACTCACTCACCCCCCTCACCCCCCCACCCCGCCATCCCTGCTACTTTGGCCTAAATTATCTAGATATTCAGGGCAACATCTGGTTCACACTAATTTCAGGGATTTCCTTCCTTGGCGTCTACCAAGAGGGGAGATTTGCTCTTTGAAAAGCAGGGGCCAAATGGGAGTAAACATTACTTGGCATCTATGATGTGCCAGGCACCTTGCAAGGAAGCGTTATGTAATCATCATCACACCCTTCCCTCCAGGCTGGGACCGCCGATCACCCGCAACCCCGTGCCACAGATGGTGACACGAAGGCTCAGAGGATGTAGTCCCACTGCATAGCACACACTCAGAAACAGTGAAGCTGTGCCCCGATGGAGACCACGCCAATTCCGAAACCACAACAGTCTTGACCGGAGAACCCTGTAACTCCAATTCCAGTGCCCAGCTCAGCCAAGCTCCCCAGAACGGCCTTGTAAGTCCTCTCTGGGGTTTTAGAATTTGGCTCCGTGAAGGAGACACACGCCAGTATAAAAAGGGAAGTTGAACTCTGTATTCCAAGGACGCCTTTCTCAGCAGGTCCTCCTGCCCTCTCTCCACCTCTCCTTCCTCTTTTTCACTGCAAGCATCCTATCATCAGTAATTTCTCTCCAAGAAATAGGAACCAGTTGCATTGAGCAGAGAGAGGGAGGGTGGAGGCAGCGGCGGGGCCATCTCCAGGCTGGGAGAGCGCCATTCTGCTCCCCTTTGGCCTGCACACTCCTGTGGCTCCGGAGGTCAGAGTTCATCTCTTCTGCCCTCCATCACCAAAGATGGCTTTGAGCGCCCCTAGTGGAGGTCTGCACTACTGGCGTGTTGCAGAAATTGAGAACCAGACCTGAGGACCCGTAAATGGAGCCCTTTTGAAGAGCTTTTCCAATAGCAGGAATGAACTTGTGAGCAAAACCTGAAAACGAGCCACTCTGATCAAGTCACACCCTTGTGCCTTGGAAGAGAGAGGAAAGGAACGCATTATTTTTCTGATGTGTCACCCAGACACTCGAACACAAGGAGAATCCCTGAAGCTTAGACATAAGGGGGTCCCCGGCAGGGGCAGCCGAAGCACCGTGGAAAAGAATGCCAATCCATAATGAAAATGGTCTTTAAGTGAATCTAACAACTGTGCGCATTAGAGATGGGAGAAAACAGCAAATATGAGCGCTATTCAATTTGCTTTATTAATTCAAGAGAAAAAGAAAAGAAATTACATGCAGGCTCTGCAGTCTCAGCACGCAGTTGCAATTATTCCCCATGTGCATATCTTAGACAATAAGAAGCCTCTTCAAAAACAAGTTACACTCTATACTTATTCATGCCTCACAGCAAAATGGCCCGGAGAGTCACGTGACCTGCATGAGAATGTAGCAACAAGTTCCTTTCAAGTATCTACAAATTCCCTTACTGCACGGGGAACGGGAGGGCTAGCTTCCAGCGCAGAATCAGAGGGATGGTTCTCCATCTGACACCAGTGGAATTGGGCCCTGTGGTAAAAATAGAATTACTGTGGAAGGTCAGTTGCTTCCAAATGCACCATCAGAACTGGCAACGCTCATTGGCCACCCGCACGCCCTCCTGATGACTCAGAGTCTCAGAGTCAGAACAACATGGTTATTAACGGGCCTTCAGAAGCAGTACAGGAGTTGACTTTAATTTGGCGGTGGCCTGAAGTTTATTAAAAAGGATGCTGGCTAGCCATAGTGCAGAGTTGGAGAAACTACATAAAATGTCTTAAAAAATCAGCACACACACACATTTCGTGTTTGAAGCCAGTGATGGAAACGAGATATCGAGATCCTTTTCTTGGACAACAATTCAAGGTGGGCCATTCAGACATTTTTTCTGAAGGGTGGTGTTTCAAAGAGTGTGGTCCTTGGAGGCAGAATCGCTTTAGAAAAGCCAGCAAGCCACTGGCTGGCTTTAGGTTCTTTCAGTGTGTGTCAGTCACAACACGGATTCAAAAGGTGGGGAGCGAGGGGGGAGGGGCGTGTGGACTCTGTTCAAGGCCACCCAGCCATTGTTGGAAAGAGACAGCTAATGACGGAAGGGCGAGCTGCGGTGGGAACGATTTCTCCCGGCCAATTCGCTACTCTCATCTTCCCCAGAGAAACTGTCCAGACCTTGTGCAAATTGTGGATATTACTGTCTCATAAGTTGGGGGTGGGGGGTGCTCTAATATGCTTTGTTAAACAAAAGGTGGTGAATTCTTTTCTTCACTCTACATTCTGGCCTCTGCGTTTGAAGAGAAGGGGGTGGGGGGATACAAATGCCTGATTTATGCTGTGGAGGGCACTCCAGGCCTTGGGGAAGAGTTGGAGGGAGAGGGACCCAGAGCTAGGGCCGGGGAGCCGAGAGCTGTCCGCGGCCTTTGGTGCTGAAAGCAGGTGTGCGCGCCAGGGGGCCGGAACTGCTCAGGGAGAAGGGGCACCACCTGTCCCTCGACTCCAGGTCCAAGTGGTCGAAATAGGAGACGAGGTGAAGTGCGCGCTCTCCACCCGTCTTCAGCCTGGGCAGACCCTGCCACCGCCCGCTTTTTCCTGCCCCCGTGAGGAGCGCTTTTCTGGGACAGGGGGTTGGACCTTTCCGAAGGTGAGGCCAGGCGGGTCTACCAGCGGTGCCCTCTACTCCTGAGTCTTCTAGTGACCTCATCAAACCCTCCGAGTTCATGGAGTTAGCTCGGGATGAGCTAGGCGCTCATCTCTTCATCTCAGTGCTCCTCCCCAATTTTTTCTGGGGTACCTCAGCCGGGCGGAGAAGAGGGTTCAGCTCCAGGTCTGGGAGGAAGTCGCCACTATCCTCCACTGAACGTGGATCCCCCTTCCGGACCGCCAAGCACGTGGTGGGTGAAACTATCACCCCCTCCCCCAACACACAATTCTTAACAGTGTTTAAAGACGCTAGGCAGTCAGGGGGAGCAAGAAGTGGGGAGTTCCCCAGGTTCTTGACTGTGACCTAACATCTCCTGTCCTAGCCGCCGACCCCCGCCCCCAACCAGGTCTGAGAAGCTTGAGCCCCCTCGAATGGCCTCTAGGCAAAAGCCACACCCAAGTTCGGCTTCCAGACACTTGGTTGAGATCCACCCTAAAACCAGGTCCCTGGGGCAACCTGGGCCAAAAGCAGGTCCTAGAGTGGGAGGGAGCAGCGCGGTGGGAGTCCAGCGGTCAGTTTCGGGGCGGACCTGCTGCCCGCTTCTCATCCTCTCCCAGAAAGGGTGAGCACTGCCTGGCGCCCAGCCCCGGGTGCAGTCTGCAGGGAGCCCCGGGAATCTGGGAAGCTACCCTCCTCCAAGGAGGTTCTCTGGGACTGCAAAGGCGAGGCAGCCCCACAGCCGGGAAGACCAGAGCCGGCAAGCAAAGCAGGGAAGCGCCGAGTCTGGCAGACACCTCCACGCGCCCATGAGCCGGGCCAAGGGGACGCGGTTCCTTGCCCCGAATTCAGGCAGCCACCCCCGCGCCCATCCCAGCGGGTAGTGGGTGGTGCCTGAGTGGCCCGGGGCAGCCGGGACCCCCAGCCGCCCCATACTCACTACAACTTTGCCCCCTCCCCAGCCCCACCCCTCCCGGGGCTTACCTCCCTGCAGAGCAGCCGCGGGGCTCCCGAGGAGCAGAGCGAGGAGCAGGGGGATCCCGCCGAGTCCCGCCGCGGGCGGCCGGGCCGCTGGCATCGTGGCTGTGGGGGGCGCGGAGCCGCGGGCTGCAAGGCGGGCGGACAGCGCGGGAGCAGGGCAAGAAGGGAGGGAGGGAGGCGGCGAGCGAGGCAGGGAAGGCGGGAGCGAGGGAGGGGGCTGAGGGCCAGGGCAGCCGCCGGAGCCCCCCGAGCGGACGCGTGTTCAGCCCCGCGATCCTTCCGGCCGAGCTGCTCTGGGCGCGGGCGGGCGAGTGAGGAGGAGCCGGCGAACGAACCAGCGAGCGGGGAGCTAGCGGGAGGAGGGAGGGGGCTGGGACCGAGCAGTGCAGGGAGGGAGGGGGCTGGCGGGCGGGCGGGCAGCGAGGGAGAGGGGCCGCCGCCCTGGGTGCCCGCCTCTGCCTCTGGCCGCGGGCCCATCGGCCCCGCAAAGTTTAACGCCAATTCCCCCTGCATCCTGGGGGCCGAGCGCCGCTGCTCAGCGGATGCTCACAGAAGCCGCGCGCTGGCGAGGCGAGGCTGGAGAGCTCGGGACCATTTTCCAGATGGTGACATGAAGGCCTCAACGCCCAGCGCGCCCTTCAGCCTGTGAGCGGCCTAGAGCTTATCACTGTCCAGCCCCTCCAAACGGACCCCAAGTCCAGCCCTCTCCACCGCACTTCAACCCTCCCAGGCCCTTTTGGGCCCCAATCGGCCGTCTTCTCTGCCAGCCCTCCCGGGTTTCCGAAGTGAGTGCCCATAACCTAGAAAATCTCAAACTCTACGGATCTCACACGAGCTGTGGATCTCCCTAGAACGATAGAAATGGCCGCAAAATTGTGCATCCGGTACCTGAGGGCTGCTTACCTCTCTGAAGCCCAGCCAGAGACTGTGAGTGAGAACGTACCCATGTTTCGGTCCCAGAGCCATCTTTCCCTTCCCTGCTGACCACCGGGCACCAGAGCCAGCCAAGGCTTCCTCTCTGCTCAGCCCCTGGCCCCTGCTACAGCCTCCCCAGCCCAGTCTGAGCTGGAGTTCAAGGCCCACCCTCATGGGCAGTGCTGGTGCCCAGCTGGATTATCAGCAACTTTTCTCTACAAATGGAAGTAGTGATGGTGGGCGTGGGGGTTCAATAGATGAAGGAGACAGGCCCATGCTTGGGGACAGGCTTTAACCAAGGACTAGATGGGACAGGCACTAGCCAAGAGCTAGAGGGGAAGGCTTTGGAGGCTGACAGTATGGACCACCTTTGTCCCCCCGCAGCCAGCTTCCCAGGTGGCGCCTCCCGATCAGAAGCTTCTCTCCTTCTCCCCTGCACGCTACCTTGCCACACTGTCTACACACTGCAGCCTGAGCGGGCAGAGGCAGCAGTTGGACAGCAGGATGCAGTGGCAGCAGCCGTCTCAGGCTGGGAGTGGCGGAGCTGGGAGTGTCTGTAACGACCCAGTGGCGGGCTGAGTACCGGGTGCAGGAGGTCAGGGGGGAGCGGAAGCACTTTGGGCCAGAGGATGGGAAGATCTCCTCACCCCCACCCACAGCTTCCGCATCCAAGTATTCACTCAGTGCTCTTTTACCTCGTATTCCCTGCAAGTCCAGACTCGCATTAGGTTCTGCGGGACAGAGAGCCCCCAGTAAAAAACTCCCTGCTTGGTCTAAGAAGTTTCCATTTCCAGCAGTAAAGCCAATGGCATTTTAGAAAGAGGGGGTTGCCCTGACCGGCGTGGGTCAGGTGGTTGAGCATAATCCCACAAAGTGAAAGGTCACTGGTTCAATTCCCGGTCAGGGGCCTGGGGTGTGGGTCCCTGCTTGGGCTTGTGCTTGTGATCCCTCTTATGCTGACAGGCTGTCACTAGGCTCTGTCGGGCTATTTCCTCATGCACCCATCCGTCCCTCCCTCCCTCCATCCATGCACTCATCCGCCCACCCATCCATCCGTCCACTAACCCACCCACCTACCCACTCATCCTTCTATCCAGTTTATCCACAAATACTGTTTGAGCAGCATGGCTACTGGGTGCCAGACTCTGTGTTGGGTGCTATGGATGCGGCAGACTGTATCTTTTGCTCTCTAGACCCGAAAGTCCAGTGAAGTCTGGCAACATGAGTGCCCAAATCCTTTCCGAGATTAATGTTCCACATCAGGGACGCAGTCTAGCAGAATGATTAAAGGTGGACTTTGAAACCTGCCAGACTTGAATTTGAATTGTTTCTCTCCAAATAGCTGTGTGACCTTGAACAATTGACTTAACCTCTCTGAAACTGTTTTAATGAAAGGTTGTCATTTAAAGAAGACAATGATTATATGCATTTAGGATAGTGTCCATAGCATATAGTAAACGCTCCATCCGTTTGTCCATCCATCCAAACATCTATCTATCTATTCATCCATCCTTTTGATAAATATTTTTTGAGCACCTGTCCTGTGCCAGCCACTGTTCTGGGCACTGGGGGACACACAAGTAAACAAGATGAAGTCCTTGCTCTCTGGAAATTCCTTTGCACAGATGAGACACACCCAGTAAACTCTTTAGTAAATAAGAATTTCAGAGAGCTTTTGGGATGCTCTGAGAGTAAAGGAGGCAAGCTGTTTGTGAAGGACCAGAGATGGCCTCCCAGACTTTTAAAGAGAGAAGGGAAAGGTGAGGCGCAGGGAACCGGTAAAGAGCTGGGGCACAGCACGTTCTAGGTGCCAGGCCACACTAACCGGTGGCCACTGCTATCATGTATCCATCATGCCATCGTCTGTCCTGCCGACTGTAATTAACTAGGGCCTGCTGTGGAGTTCCCCAGGAAGTCTGAACTCAGGAATCACGCTCTCCAACCCGTCAGCATGCAATGCTGGAAGTTTCAGTTTGATCCATACTCCTGCCCCACCCAAAACAAAGCCAGCATCATAGTTCTGTCCCAGGAGCACCCGGTGCTGGGAAGGTTTATATCACTGGGGGGGGGGGGGAGAAGGGGAAAAGAAATTTTTTTGTCTTGGAATAAAAATGAAATACAAAAGGAGACATCTTAAAAGAGAAGGAGAGAGGGGTTTTGTTTGTTTGTTTGTGTTTTTTTTTTTTACTGTCCCAGCCATAGGACAGCCCAGGAGAAATCCACCCTGGGTCTTGAAGGCCAGGCAGAGCACACAACTAGCACCTCCCCGTGCTGTTCTCGGCCTGCCCGTCAGAACTTGCAGACGAGCCTGGCCCACGCAGTCCTGTTCAGGAAGCCCAAGGCCATGGTGCATCACTCCGGCCGGGCGCTAACAAGGGACCGATCAGCTTCAATGCAGCCACCCTGATCCGGTGTTCTCACATTACCTGGGCAGAAGTAATTAGGCTTCTTTGGTTTCCTTGGAAATGCCCGATCTGTCTCTCCCACTTGCCCTGGCTCTTGAGAAATACCCGTGTGTGGCCAAAATCTGACAGGGAGACAATGCCTTTACTTTCAGATGGAAAGTTTATGGAATATGAAGTGAGCCTGCATCATGGATTTGCATTCTGCAGAGGCTGGTCTGGCCGGATGAGAGGAAAGACCAGGGTGCTGTCAGAAACGCGAAGGAGGCTGAAAGACGGGGACAGACACGCAGGATCTAATGGGACCCCGCTGTCGAGTCCCTGCAAACCCAGCTGGGAGAGCTCCCTGGGTTTCTCTTTTTGGGTCTCAACAGCAACAACCAAATCAATGAAAGAAACTGTGTCTGTGTATATACTCAGTTGGCATAAATGGTGGCCTGCACATTTTCCGGACCACAAAGAATAGCCTACGAATGCCAAAGACACCCATGGGCTATTGTAAGACTTTCGTGAACACCCGTGCCCTTGGGAGCCAGCAGGTTTATTTGGAGCCGGACGGGCCTGAGTTTGGCTCCCTCCTAGATGAATCCCCTGTAGGCCTGTTTCCTAGTCTGCACAAAGCGAGGGATATTAGTGACTACTTCCCAGGCTTCTTGGAATGGTAAGAGGGGATTCATGCCCTGTGCTGAACAAACTGCCCATCCTGTAGTAGGTGCTCAATAAACAGAGGCCATTATACCGTGTTATACAGATTGTGAGAGAGAAACACAGCCCAGGTGCCATAAACGACTCTTCTCTGATAGGGTTTACCAAGCGTAGGTATGTTTAGACTTGGAAGAAAGCCCAGCAGGGGGTTTAGGACACAGAATAAGGAAAACTCCCAGCCCTTCGGGGACAGGGCCAATCCAAACCATTACTCGTGTGACGCCTCACTCGAAATTAACCGAGGCAGCCCCGTCCTGTTCAACTGCAGAAACACCCTCTGCCCTTCTCCCGCTTCTCCAACCTCATCAGTCTCTTCAATGTGGAATACTAAAAAGGCCAGGCTGCGTTAGGTCTCTGCTGACTGATATTCTGTCCTTTGTCCCAGCTCCCCAGCCATTGTCCCCAAGGACAGACTTGGGCAGGAAGAGCAGGACTAATGTCGGAGGCCCCCACCCCAGGCTCGGCTCAGCGGTTCTGTGTTTATCCATCCCCCCACACTGGTCCCTCGGAGGAGGCCTCACCCAGCATCACCAGGAACAGCAGCCAGGCAATTTCCTCTTAGACCTCGTGGGCGGGTCTGATTTCAGGAGCCCAAGGGACAGTGGGTAGAAGTCGGTGACCCCAGAGGCTTCCCCACTAACTCCTGTGTGGTATGTGTATGTCCCTTTGCCCTCTCTGATTTTTAATTCACCCATCTGGAAAAAGAATGGAATTAGAAAAACACGATTTCTTGTTTTGAAATTTGATCACCCTATGACGTCAGCTCCCACCCGAGAGATGACAGGTTTCACCACTCTCCGGGTGAGAATAAAAGCTGATATTTCTAAGCAGCTGCTTACAGTTTGCCATTGGATGTCTCCCTCCGTCCTCACACCCTGCTGTGAATGTTGTATCATTATCACCCCAACTCCTGTCCCAGTCTGTAGGGCCCCGCGGCTCTGGCCCTTCCTTCCTCTCTGACCTCACCCATGTGTCCCTTTATGAAGTCCAGCTGCTGACATTCCAGGCTCGGGCTGCCTCCCGGGCCTTTGCTCTTGCTGCCCTCCTGACAGACACACAGCGGGCTCTTCGTCGTCCGTCTGTGGTTAGCTAGAGAGACGGCTCCCTCAGGTTCAAATCCTCC